GGAGTTTAACTGCTCTTAGCAAGCAGTTCAGTGCAGGAAGGGAGAGACTGTAATAATAACATTACACAGTGCCATTCATAACACTGTCGTTAAGTTTGGGTTAACATTTTCCATCCAGACTCCCATGGTCATCCACGCTCAGCTGGAGCTGAGGTGCAGAGTCCAGGCCCACCAGCCACCCTGGCACTGCAGGAGGACGAGCCCAGGTCTCCGAAGAAGTACGGCTGGGAACGCACAGAGTGGATCCCCTCTTGTTCCCCAGGAGCTCAAAAATGGCTCAGTTTTATAAGTGATGAGATCACTCCTTGGAAACGAACCATTAACAGTAACTGATTTATACCAGTTTTTAAATCTGTCCGAAATAGCCCATTTTAAAAGTTGTCCTCTGATCTTGGAGACTTATCAGTGCCCCCAGCTTTTGATCACACAAGGTTCATTCCAGTCCTCCCAGCTTCTTCTACACCATTAATCTGTTTGTTTCTGTGAAGACATCACACCACTGCAGCTGCCTGTGTGGGCTTGCACCAGTGCCAGACACCTTGTGTTTAGTGCCCAGTGGACTACAGGGCAAAGAGCACCCATTTGGGTGGTCAGCTAAAGCCTGTGGGTCAGGGGAAGGTGTGTTTATCCTCGCCTGGGTTGTAAGCTTGCAGTTGGAGAGCATCACTAGAGCAGGGCTGGATTCTTATACAAGGAACTTAAACAGGAGTAAGTGGTGTATTGCATGACAAAGAAAGGGTTTGGAGGATGTGCTTTGGATTTGACTCTGGATTGGATCAAATGTTTGAACAAATGGCACATTAAGCAATAGGACATACTTATTGTAGTAAGACTTAACGCTGATTAAGTAGTTATAAGAGATTTAAATGGCTCCAGGATATGCTGTAGTAACTGAGTCTCAGCTCAGGTCTCTAATATTGTGCAGAAAAGAAATCCATGACAGTGCATTTCTTTGTTCTCCAGTGTTGCAATAAACCCATCCTTAATGTCACAGCTTCACAAAACTTTTTATTTAATGGTTTGCAAAAAAATCAATAAATCTTGAGCTGAGTACATTAGTAGGGTGGTGTCCCAGCATTAATTACAGACATATGTATCCATAGTAAGATGCTTTGTCATGGGGTAGGTGTTTGGATAATGAGGGGACCAGGACACACTCATGACACACCAACCAAAAACCAGGCAATTGTGCACACTTGCTACCAAAGTTTCAGTGTAGCTACACTGCATGTCTTCCATTAACACTTCAGAGCTATTGGGAGCATTATGGATAAGTTATAAGTAGCTAGTATGCTCTTTTCCCCACTTCCTGCTGGAGAATAAATGTGCTATGAGTTGCATATATTCCACTTCTTCCCTGCCATCTCTGAGCTTTGTTCCCTACAGGATATTTGTCATGGAGTTCGACCTCACTGTGCTTGGGAACACTGAGCATGTCTCTTGTGAATTAGAGATCTTCAGATCTTGTCTCTGTAGTGGTTTAACCCCAGCTGGCAACTAAGCACCACACAGGCACTCACTCCCTCCCTCCCCTCCCCGGTGGGATGCGGGAGAGAATTGGAAGAGTAAAAGTGAGAAAATTTGTGGGTTGAGATAAAGACAGTTTAATAGGTAAAGCAAAAGCCACGCACGCAAGCAAAGCAAAACAAGGAATTCCTTCGCTACTTCCCATCGGCAGGCAGGTGTTAGCCATCTCCAGGAAAGCAGGGCTCCATCACATGTAATGACTACTTGGGAAAACAAACATCATAACTCTGAATGACCCTTTCTTCCCCGAGATTTACATGCTGAGCATGATGTCATCTGATGTGGAATATCCCTTTGGTCAGTTGGGGTCAGGTGTCCCAGCTGTGTCCCCTCCCAGCTTCTTGTGCAACCCCAGCCTACTCGCTGGTGGGGTGGTGTGAGGAGCAGAAAAAAGTGTTTACTCTGTGTAAGCACTGCTCAGCAATAAATAAAGCATCTCTGTATTATCAATGATTTTTTCAGCACAAATCCAAAACGTAGCCCCATACTAGCTACTGTGAAGAAAATTAACTCTATCCCAGCCAAAACCAGCACAGTCTTCTAGTCCAAAAAATAAAAAGTAAGACCACAACTTCTGATAGGAAAGAGAAATCAGGTCAGATTCGTTGTGTGGCTTTGACTCCAAAGGCAGAAAATAGGCGTACACCTGGTCCAGGTGTAGGAAAACATCAAAAGGGGTGAGGTGAGGAACATTCTTAGTAAGTTCTTTTAGCATTAATTACAGAACAACCCAGGATGCTAACACAGGTGTTCCTGGTGCTGTATTTGGGAGGCTTGCATCATGCTGCTGAGCTGTGCTGGGAGCTGCCTGCAGCGGCATCTGAGTGTAGTTTGGATTTCTGCAAGAGCACTGGGGATAACTGCTGCACTGGTGGGCTTGAAGCTTCTTGCCTGCTTTTGACTGCAGTTGCCACTGCTGGGTGGGGGTTTTTTGGTGTTTTTTTTGTTTGTTTGTTTGTTTGTGGGGTGTTGTGGGGTTTTTTGTCTGTTCTCCCCCACTGTTCCCAGAGGAGAAATATTATTTCAGAGGGGCACCTGGGAAGGGAGACTGGCTGGGATATGAGTTACTTCTCTCTTGGGTTTTTTTGGCTCAGTAATTTTTTTTTTTCTGTACGAAATGTGATTAAAGCTTGACTTTGCTTTTGAAAGCACACTATTTCTTCTGCTTCTAAGTGACCACAGTGGTCCACCTTCCTCTTTCCTTCCCTTTGTATCTACCTCTGTCTGCAGTCACACCAAGGCTTAGAAAGTTGAGCAGCTTTTCGGCAGATAGACCATGTCACAGCATGACTTGCAACAAAAGAGTGGAGAAGAGTCCAAACTACAGTTTAGCATAATAGCTACTTTATTTTTCTCCAGTGGGCTTGTGTGAACAAGACACCAAAAACATGTGCTACAAATTTTGGAAAATACAGTCTGACTGGTGCAGACAGTGACTTTTCTACTGGTTGTCTGTCTTTTGCAATATTTCTTTTGAATGTGTTTGTGTTGTAAAACACTTCTGAGAGCACACTAATTTTTCTGTTGCTTGTAAGAACTGTTTTCTTAGTATTTCACATGCAGTGTCTGGAGAAGAGGACACAGGTACTGGATACAATTAGAAAAAACAAAGATTTCTATCCAAAAGATGGTCCATTTCTGTTGTGCAGGGCCAGAGAGGGATGTCTGTAGCTTATAAATGGAATTGAAGTATAAAAGCTATGATAGTTACATTTGAGTAACTTGGTGACTGTTGTATGTTAGTGGGAATAGTTGAATGCTGAACAAATGTCATAACCACAAATTTGGGGTGGTAGTTGTTATATGTTTTTATATATATAGAAAACAGCTATAGGTATAGCTGTGTCTGTATCTTAGCCTCCACCAGACTTGTTTTCATTTCCTGGCATTCAATGTGTGGGATATGTGTGTGAATTGTGATATAGCTTGAAATTTATACAGGGGTTGTATGGGAAATAAAACTGCTTCTTTTCCCAACTTGAAGTTGCCTGAGCCATGGTACCTACAAGTGTTTTATTAATAAAGCTTTCCTCATACAAAGGAACATCTTATGCTGCACCAATACGTGTGCACACATGATAACATAGGTGCAGGTGTGACTGGAGGCAGGTTCTCCTGTGAATGAGGAAGGAGAACCAGGCCACTGTGGCATTTCTCTTTTGCAAACTAACAAACTAACTAAATGTTTTAATACTATTTTATAGTTCTTCTACTATAAGAACAGAGTGGGCAAAATTGTAAAAACAAGAAGCTCTTGTAGCTCCTGCATCTGAGGAAGATGAGAAAGAGAAGGCCATTGTCAGGAGGTGCTGCTGGCCATGTGTGGCTGCTGGTCTGCCTCTCCACCCCGAAAGCATTTGCTCATTGCCAGGGACTGCAAATGGCTTTGTTGCACAGGTGATCTTTATTGCAGTAGTGAAAGTACAGGTTTCCAAACCTTTTGTTCATATATAGTAAACAGTTGGATCTAATGGAACTTTTTATCTTTTTTTTCCTCCCAAATATTAGTGTTTTGTTTTATATCTATAATAAAAAAAAATTATTTAAGAGTCCGTAACTTGAGAACTAGGGGAAGATTATTTTTGATTTCTTACACACTCTTAATCTGGCTCTGTTCTAGGAATATTTTATATCCCAGCACAGTTATATGATACTTTGCCACAGGACCCCAGTCCTCACATGTGCGGAGGAAATGCAATTAAAATCAGATGGGCAGCTGTGAATTTCACGCACAACTTGCAACTGCTGGTCTTTGTAGCCTAAATAATGTAACTTGTTAGTTGTGTTAATGTCTAGAGATTGACTTGAAATTTTCTTTTTGCACATAGAAAAGCTTTGTGGTCCATATTTTGAGGTCTTAATTTCACTGTTGGTACCCTGTGTAGGTGATGTAGCTTTGAGGTTGGCTTTTCTGGAGTGACAGCTGCAAGTATGAAGGCAGTGTTCAGAAAAACATTGTCTGAATAGCCTTCTTCAAAAAAAGTGCTGAAGAAGGTGCTAAGTTACATAAGTGTCTGAGGATTAGTCTTCCCAATTTTCATGTTGATATTTAATAAATTGTCTAAGAGATGTTTTTTTATTGATTGTTTTGATGGACTTGGTCGTGTTGGGTTAAGGGTTGCACTTGATGACCTTAAGGGTCTTTTCCAACCTAAATGATTCCGTGCTTTTCTTCTCCTTACAGAAACAGAGTTGCCATCCTTTCTGACTGCACTGTGTTTCTTCCAAAGAGTCTGCATCCTTTTTTGTGAATCCTTCTTATGAAGAACACAAGAAGGAATGATCATATCTAGAATATTTACTGCATGAAGTGCTGAATCTAATCCTAGAATTAGTAACAAATTTGGGTGAACTAAGTTTTGACTCTTGATGATGATCATAACACGCAGAATTAGGTTTGAGCATGTTTACTACAGTGGGGAACTCGAACTGACCAGTGACCTCATGAGCTGGTGGAGTTTAGGGTAACGGAAATGGTGCTAGAGGCACAGCTTTGCTTGCAAGATCAGCCTTTGGCTGGTGACCTGGAGGCTAAACTCCAGGTTTGGTGCAGTGCCCAAAACGAAGGAGGGAATCGGCTACCTGAGATTTTTTTTCTCAACTAATTTAATTCTTGGGGTCAGATTGTACATAACTTTATGTGCTGGGGTGTACTAGAAAAGTAGGTGCTAAGGAGCAGGCTTTTGGCAGTGATGAAGGACAGTAGTTGTGGTTTTGACATGCAGGCAAGGGCAGATTCAAACTGGTCCTAAGGAAATCCCTGCTATTTCTAGCACTGGTGCTGCTCAGAGGGGCCCCTTGCAGAACTCTTCTGAGACAATGCTGAGGATGAAAACGCTGAAGACAAGCTCTCTAGTAGCAGCAGCAGGGTGGTCTATGGCCTTTAGATCAGGCAAAATCACTTTCAGATCACAGTCTTTTCCTGGACAGGATGGATGGGAGGCTTCTGTGTAGTGGGAATATTCTCTATGTTGAGAAGTTGAGAGGTTTTGTCAGGTAGATGAACCCTCAATGGGATTTTATGGCCATCAGTTCTCCACACAGTGGTAATGATATTTTGAAGTGCTGTATGATTTGCTTTGGGTGGAGGTGTGACTTTTTGTATAGCTGAGAGCCTAGCCAGGGATGCCCCTGTGTTCCAGTTCCACCTTCTCCCCTGTGCTCAGGGGTTGCTCAGGGCAGAGGATGAAGGAAGAAAGAAGCCTCTAAGCCACTGAAGCAACAAGAGTCACAGAAAGGTTCAAACTCATCTGTAGGTCTGCTCACCTTTTCTGTAGACTTCAGGAATTGTAAAACACCACCTGTGAGAATATGTGCAATGTATGTGTGTCTGGCTTAAAATATGTGAATACCACTTTCTGCATGGGTAATAGAAAAATCTGATCAAGGAAGGATGTAGTAGCTTCTCTTTCCTGCAGAAAAATTCCCACCATTTGGTCAGTTCTATGAGATAGCATGGCACCCAATTTAACCTTGCAGCTTGCAAGCATGCACGTTTATTTCAAGAAAATGCTAAAAGCAAACTGAATGTACAGCTTCTTAAAGAGCCAATAAATCTAGGTTATATCTTCCTTCCCCAGTCAGGAAACAAGGGAGCTATTTTTAAATCTGGCCTTCCTGTACATACTGAAATAGAATGATTTTTCTTGTGCTAGACAGAGCATGACAAAGCTTTCACATTAAATAATGAGCTCTTACTGTTGCTGTGAATTAAATGGGCAGGATTGGACAGAAACCATTGTTTCTCCAAAAAAGACCCGCTCCAATGATTTCTCCAAGCATTGACCTCTGCAAAGATTAGATCATCCAGGCAGGAAGAAAAGTAAAGCAACCTGAATGGTGGGGAGAGAAGCTCGCCAGTAGCTTTGTGGGAGGTCTTCCATTGCAGCTCACTTACTCAGGAGTGGGGAAAATTACAGATAAGATATCCTAATTTGTATGAAACTTGGTTTGATGCAAGAGCCTTTTGCAGTCCTAACTGTTAAACAGTTTGGATTATCTGGCTGGAAGCTCGCTCTGCCGAAGGCAAGAGCTCTTCATTGCAGTTGTTAAGAAGAAGTTAAAATGTGAATTCATGTCAGCCTGTAGCCTTCAGCTACCCGTGGTGCATCTTTCCTTGTGGCCCTGGGTTTGTGCAAAGATAGAGCCAACACTTGCTCAGGCATGGAATATGAGATGTAGCAACTTTTCATTTGCATTGTTGTACTGTAGTGTCTGGTTTCAGCAATTAATGTTTATTTTAGCTTCTCAGTGTGCTGCAAAGTAGTGCTTTTCATTGCTAAAAATAAGCAGACAAATTTATACAGTCTAATCTCTCCCTGATGTGTGAGGGAGCTATAATTTAAATTTATTGGTCTTAACAGTTGCAGGTTCTGTGTTTGTGTTCAGAACATGCCAGATTCAAGTCTTGGCATATGCTCCTGCCGCAAACATTTCCTTTATCTCTTAGCTTTGTGTAGGTGCCTGTTGATACCTGTTGTATTACTTCTGCGTATTCTGGCTGCACACTTGCAAGAGAACTGAGACCATATTTTATTCATTGTTGACATTCTTCTTTCTAACCAGAAACACTAAGAGAACACTAAGGGAATCTGAGTTTGTATACCAGAGGATGAATCTTACTGGGCTAGACTGCTGGATAGATGAAAACAGAAATATGATACCATAACCTAACTAGCTAAATTGATAGGCTGCCTCTTTCATGAGCTCATGTTTGTTTTGATTTAGAATTGTTTGGAAAATGATCCTGTCACTTCACAGGTATGGCTGCTAAAATAGCCGGATACTATTTTTATAGGCAACTATATTGTCTATTTTCCTATCTCTGAAGATATTTCTGATAATGTTTTAGAGCATATTTTCACTTTGTTTTAATTAAGTATTTAAAAATATGGCTTGAAGGAAAATAACGGAGAAAAATAGAGCTAAGTTACAGTAAGCCATTCACATAGCTGGATATGTGCTAGCTCAATTTATTTAAGTGTCTGTGTATATTCACAGAAGATCTAAAGATCATACTACACCAATATATTGATTTTTACTTCTTATCTATACTGAAACAATAATGGTGATTTTTTTTCCTTTTTTTTTAAAGTATTTCTTTAACGTCTTGTATAAGTCCTGGGGCTGAGAGGAGGGAACATTTTAAAAGTCAACCACAGTTGCTATTTCTTTCTACCTGGGATCTTGGATTTCATTTGAGCTTTAACTCAGTGTCTCTCTCCAAAAGGATTCATTAGTACATATTCCCAAATTATTGCACTGGGCATAAAGAAAAGGGCGTAACGAAAAGGTCTGTTGGAAAGCAGCAGCAAATACATGTCCAAATAAGAACCTCTGGAATCATCTGAATCTGTCTTTCTCTTGGGAAAAGGCCCTTCTTGTTTAAGTGTTAACAGACTGGGGCACTGACTTCTGATCTGGAAAACTTTTGTCTGTTGCTTGCAGCCAGTGAGACAACATAGGTGTGAATGCTGCTTTCCCTGCTTGCTCATTAACTTTTCTTTGAGTCAAGGATGAGAATTTGTAAGAGAAGCAAGAGAACAAAATCTAATTGTTGGGTAAATGACTTGTTTTTCTGTGATTTCATTTGGGGGGGGGTGTGTGTGAAGAGTTTCTGTTTGAATAGAATATAATTAATTAGTGCATGTAAGGAAAGATAAAATTTTGAAATTTAATTGTAGCTGACCAAATCACCATCATTTCGGGGTTTGGTTGTTTTTCCAGGTGAATCAGAACGTGGAGATCCAAAGGGCCCGTCTGCGAGATGATATTAAGGAATATAAATTCCGAGAAGCGCGTTTGCTGCAAGACTACACTGAGCTCGAAGAGGAAAACATCTGTCTCCAGAAACAAGTGTCTGTCTTGAAGCAAAATCAGGCAAGTTTTTCAAAATAGTGAGCATTCCTCTGGTACCACCAGTTAATTCCTGTGCTACAGCATGGTTCTGTCTCGTTTGAACATCCAACCACTTCTTTTCTATGTTTGTACTGCTTTTGAGACTATAAGGTCTGTCTTTCAGTAGCAAGAGTTGCCCCAAAATGTTTAAGTCCTTTCTGACTGTTTACACGCAGTCATAAAACTTTATGGCTTCTACTTTGACCTCCAAGTCCTTCTATTGCCTTCTCTCTCTTTGGTGGAAGTGCAACCTCTACCAGTCTGCTTTGTTACTTGGTTTAAGTCTTTTTGCTATACTAGTTTTTCAGTGTCTCTTTGCAATACTCTCCATCCATCAATCCTCTCTACAGTATCTGTAACTGGGTGTATTTCTGAACATATATTTATATTGCTACTTAGTGCTTACATTATCTCTCCAGTTCTGTACTCCTTCTCTCTTCTAGCTACTTTCATTAAACATGGACTACTGTTATAGTTGCTCTACGCTGTCAGCCCTGTGTGACTGCTCATCTGAAAAGTCACGTTTAATTGCACAGTTCCAGCTGTTTTCAGAAATTTAGAAAACTGCATTTTCGGAACAACTCAAGAATTTCCCTGAGTTATCATTTGCAGAGGTAATTAGATCAGATGTAGTCTTTTGCACAGTTCACTTATCTTGGGGACTTGCTATTTTTATTCTTCAGGTAGCTGTCAGTCTCGGTGTGTAAATAAAACTCAAGGTTCAATTGAGAAAATGGTGTAATATTCCTGAAATAAAAGCTCTTGAAGAAAACAATAGTGTTAATACCATCTGTTGTAGTGAGCACATAGCAGAAAGCTTATTAGGATTTGCTTCAGATCTCCTTCAGTGTTCTGAATGAAAGCTGCCCTAACAAGTGAGGTGTTTGGGATATTGAATGCATTCAATTTATCTCCAGGTGAAGCTCCATGTCAATATTTATCACTTTGGCTTCACTGGTGTGCCCAAAAGGGGGCTCCAGGTTGGACCTGTTCTCAGCTGAATATATTTGGTCTAATTATGCTGTTTTGGGTGCCCTGACATCATGCGTTAGGGATGAAGGAGCTATTACACCCTAGATGCAAACTGGAAGAGGTAGTTATCTGGTAAAATCCAACCTATGTAGTTGGTTACTTTTGTTCTTTACCTTTTTTTGCCTCACTCGTATTCAGAGGAGCAAGTGAAAGTTCCCAGCTCCATGTTCACATTCTAGAATAACAATATTTAAGAATGCTGTCATTTTGGGTTGAGCCAAATTTAACCTCAGATGCTGTCTTGTCAGTTGCTAGTAATTATTGACTACTGTGTTTGTATTCTGGAACCTTTGAAAATAGACTGCAATCTTAAATATTTGAGCTCAGTGGACATATATAGAACCAAGAGCTAATTCTTTTCATGGCATTGGATTATTTAATTTTCTACCTTGTCCTAATCCTACTTGATGAATTTTATTAAGCTTTAATTATCCCACTGACATAACTAGAAGAAGCCATAAAGTTTTCCCAGGTTTAACTTGCAAAACTGAATTAACATGATTGTTTCCTGGTTTTTAAATTAGATGTCGTTCAGCACTACCAGATTGGTGTATGTTGGCATGTAAAATTCCTTTAGCAGCTGGCAAAAATCAATAGGGTCATATATCATGTGCTATGTTTTCCTTTCTTTCAAGGTAAGGAAAAGGTGTTCTTTAGGCTTTACACTAATGGTTGGTGTTCATAATTTCAGTGCAAGAGAGGTTTAAAAAAAATGCAGTTTTACAGTTAAAAACTTACAGTTAGTGTGCCATCAAATTTCATATAGCCAGCACTATGAGTCTGAAGTGTAGAATCTGAATTGTAGTGCTCTCAAGATGTGGTGAAATGATTATGACAGAAATGATAAAACATGTTATTTTGAATGTATAAAAGCAGAGTTTGAGTGCTAGGTGCATCCTAACAGTTGCAAGCCCAGTGGCATATTCTAACAGCAGTGCAGCAGAGTGTCAGAAGCATAGCTTTGCAGTGCTGAGTTTTGGAAATGTTGAGCTTGAATTTGTGGGAAGGTTGGCCAGGGAATTTGTTAATCAAACAAAGAAAGAATTTGCATAATGTGCTAGGAAGGCCTGTTTTGTGATGCCTCTGTATCACACACTGTATCTCCCACCTGTCTTAATTAAGCTGGAATAGATCAGATCATTTGATGGTTTGCTTAGAAATTTTATTCCATGGTCTCTCTGAAGGTAAATTATGTAATCAGTGTTTACAGTCAGAGTGCCAAAACTGGACTCCAGAACTGAAAAAATTATTCTGTTCTCACCATATTTAGTGAAATCAAACATTCAAAAGTAAAATTACTTGGTGCCTTGTGGGCAGACATTTTCAGTAGGACTTTTTTCCCCCTCTATTTGTATATCTCCAGGTGGAGTTTGAAGGCCTGAAACATGAAATCAAAAGACTTGAAGAGGAAACGGAATTTCTCAACAGCCAGCTAGAAGATGCCATACGGCTGAAGGAGATCTCCGAACGCCAGCTTGAGGAGGCCTTAGAGACGCTGAAGACAGAGCGGGAGCAGAAGAACAATCTTCGTAAAGAGCTCTCTCACTACATGAACATTAATGACTCCATGTACAGCAGCCACCTGAACATCTCTTTGGATGGACTGAAGTTCAGTGATGAAGCCACAGAGCCCAATAATGATGAAATCATGAATGGATTTGAACAAAACTGCCTCAGCAAACTCAGCAATGGCAAGAATAGTACATCAACACCCAAGAAAAATGAAAGCTTCCCTCCAGCCCCAAGTCTGGTTTCAGATCTTCTGAGTGAATTAAACATTTCTGAAATCCAGAAGCTGAAACAACAGCTTGTTCAGGTAAATGGGTTTCCTAAAAACTGTGTACTTCCAAATAGCTGCTAGAGTTTATGTGGATTGTAATTTCAGTCTTTTCAATATCTCATGTGGCCACCATACAGTATGAACTATATCTGTAAAGGTTCTGATTGCTTTATGTTAAATGTTTGTCAGTGGAAAACCAGAGCTTTTTGCTTTTTTTTTTTTTTTTTTTAATGCAGAGAAGCTAGCTGTCATGTCCTATGTTTGGAGGAAAGTTGTAATGCATCTTCTGTGCAGTACATGCTGTGTCTAATTTATTATGTCACTAGCAAGAAAGATAGTATTTTGTTCAAAAATTGATAGTTACTCTAGTCATCTTCATGAAAAGGAGTTTTGTACACCATAACTGTTTTCTGTAATTAGGTCAAAGCACCAAGTACTTAATCAGTACCAAGCATTTCTGTGTTATATTTGTGCTATTGGAGAGTTTGAAACAAGGTACATACTTGTGTTCCCTGGAAATGTTTTAAAGTTACTTTGTCAAGCATTTTTAAAGTGTTCTGTAAGAAAAAGCCTTTGTGGAAAAATTTGCTGGATTTCAGAGGAGAAACTTCAAAAGTTTTGGTATTTCTGAGTCTTTCATGAAGCTCCAAGCTTCCACCGTGGACTAGCTGCATGTTTTCTAATATTTACTTGATAATTTGCAAGATAAGAGTAAACTTTAGTTTATCTTCAGCTGAAAGGACATTTTCACAATGAGACCATCAGCTATGGAAGAAGTGTGTAAAAATGCACATTTTGAAGTGGAAATGAGAAAGAATTGGCAAGGAACGCTGTGCTTGAGATAGTTTTAGAATAAATTAAATAACCTTTTCCACAATGTGGAAGTGATCAGATTTCCGTAACCCTATGGACCTTGGCTAAGTTGCTGTCTCTTAATAAAACCATTTAAGTGATACGGTTCCCTTTATGTAGATGTCTGTGTTCATGCATTTCAGATGGAAAGAGAGAAGGTGAACTTGTTAACAACGCTACAGGAATCTCAGAAGCAGCTGGAAAATACACGGGGGGCCCTCTCAGAGCAGCATGAGAAAGTCGGCAGACTCACAGAAAACCTGAATGCGATGAAGAAGCTCCAGGTCAGCAAGGAACGTCAGTCTGCCCTTGACAATGAGAAGGACCGAGACAGCCATGAAGATGGAGACTATTATGAAGTTGACATCAATGGGCCAGAGATCCTGGAGTGCAAGTACAAAGTGGCTGTGGCAGAGATTACTGACCTAAAAGAAGAGCTTAAAAATCTTAAGGCAAAATACAAAGAATGTGAGTCTAAGTATGAGGAAGAGAAGAGCAGATATGAGACTGAGAGCCAAGCTCTCACTGAAAAGATCACCTCACTAGAAAAATCTGGTAGGCATGATAGAGAACAGGTGGCCAGACTGGAGAAGGAGCTGAAGAAAGTCAGTGATGTTGCTGGAGAAACACAGGGCAGCCTCAGTGTGGCCCAGGATGAACTAGTCACCTTCAGTGAAGAACTGGCCAATTTATACCACCATGTCTGTATGTGCAACAATGAAACTCCAAACAGAGTGATGCTGGATTACTACAAGGAAGGTAAAGGCGGACGCAGTAGTCCAGAGACCAAGGGAAGAAGGTCTCCCATTCTTCTTTCTAAAGGGCTGTTAACTATAGAGCTAGGAAAGGCAGAGAATGGAAGCGGTGACAGCAGCCCTTCTCCAGTGTCATCTTTGCCGTCTCCTGTGTCAGATCCTCAGAAGGAACCAATGAACATTTACAACTTGATTGCTATAATCCGGGATCAGATCAAACACCTGCAGGCTGCTGTGGACAGAACAACTGAGTTGTCCAGGCAGCGTGTTGCCACTCAAGAACTTGGACCTGTGGTGGACAAAGACAAGGAAGCTCTCATGGAAGAAATCCTGAAGCTGAAGTCCTTGCTGAGCACCAAGAGAGAACAGATAGCAACTCTGAGAACTGTGCTGAAGGCCAACAAACAGGTAACCAGGTCTTACAGATGTGAAGGTTATAGTGTCAGGGAATTAGGTCATAAACACAAGAGAATTTATCTTTGCGGTCATACTGCCATACCTTCAACTCAGTTGGGCTTTTGTTGCTGGTATTTGTTTGGTACAAGGCTGAGGCAGGCTGTTTCATTAGAGGCACACAGCTGTCCTAATGTAAAGCTGGGCGCTGGGGCTTTAACTGACTTTTGCTTGTTGCATCCTCATGAGCCTTTTTGTTAAGGTAGCTTCAATCTACTGCTTGTCTGAATTATACTGGATTATATTTAATGTAAGACACCTAAAATGAAGATGTAAATCTTATTTTCTACTAGAAAGAATTCTAGTAGTTACCCTTAAAAGAGTTCTTAAACTTATGTACTCATCTCTTAAATTTCAAAAGAAAAGAAGGCCTTTCAGGATGAGGATGTGATAGAAGAACATGGTCAAAATAACAGGGGTGAAAGGTAAAATTAGTCTTTGGGGATTGGGCTGTGCCATTTGATGCGTATTAGCAGTGCAGTAGATGGAAATAACTGCCATTAAGACACCATATGACATGCTTCATTGTCTCCTCTAAAGTTGAAGTAATGCAAATTGAAGTTGTCTTAAAAAAAAAAAAAGGTATATACATACTTTCAGTTTTCTTTTGCACATTTTAATAAAGGTGTCCCAAAATGTAAGATAGGCAAAATGCTCTAAGGGTTAGAGAACTGTGTAAATGATTGATGAATGCGTTTGACTGTAGAGATACTAAATAGACTTTTTTTTGTTCTTTGTGTTGAAGTATGTAAAGTTTAGTTTCTTTTAGTAGTTAGAGATAGGTGTCACTAAATGTATATTCTGTAACTTCCTAGATGCTGCTGTGTGGTTAATGGGAGTAGGACACCCATATGTTTGATCTGTTTCCAGTGTTAAAAAATGAAATTTCATTTAATCCATACAAGTTGACCAGAAGTTTAACATTCCAGTGCAAAGCAAATGTTTCATTATATGAACAGCGATTAGGAATCTCTTAGCCAGCCACTTTGTGAAGAGTTCATTAACTAGTACGTTTCTGTTCTTCTTGGTAAACAATAGACTGCAGAGGTAGCCCTTGCCAACTTAAAAAGCAAGTATGAAAATGAGAAAGCTATGGTTACGGAGACAATGATGAAGCTGCGAAATGAGCTGAAGGCTTTGAAAGAAGATGCTGCTACCTTCTCTTCCCTGAGAGCAATGTTTGCTACAAGGTAAAGAACATACGAACTCTGCCTAATGTCATTCCTTGCTTTTTTGGGGGAGGAGATGAAAATCCTGCCCACCTACCCATGCAGAGAGTGGCAGGGTGGGGTGCCTTCTTCCAAGTTTGTTGCTTACAGTGTTTGTCTGTGATTATGTTCCTATTGATGAGGAAAATGCCAGGGCTATAGTATGTTGCTATAAAACAACAAGTTGTTGTGGCAATATTTATTTAATTTGGGTGTGAGATTATCCCTGGTTCTTGAAGTCATTAACTCTGAGAAGGAGTGACATTTAACAATGCAAAATGAGCGTTTATTATGCAACGAAAATGTGACTCTGCTTGACCTGTAATGATCCAGAAAAAAGTAAAGATGTTGCAAACATCATCTTATTCTTAGGTTGTCCATCCTGCAGTTGGCATTTCTGTCATTTCATTTACCTGTGTGAGCTGATTTGGGTTGCACATGCCTTTGGAACTTGCTTCTGCTTCTTAGTTGTGCTTTGTGGTGTTAACAGACAAAAAATACCTGCTGACACATCACATGCTGTAGAAGTGATACATGCTGTTTTGATCTGCATGTTGCTTACTGCTACTGTCATTGATTTCTTCTTTAAGTCTACGCATTCCTTTTCGGGAATGTTGAAGCAACATCATCATGTTACAAGGTCTGCTTCGCAGCTGAGGAATGTTCAGTTGGCTCCTGTGTGGAGATTTTTCTGGAATACAGGAAAAGAAAAAGCTTTATCTAAAAGTTGTCAGTCCCAGCTTATTGGGACTCACAGGGACATCCCTGCCAACGTTCATTTGCCTGCGTATTCCATGCATTGCCTAAAGAAGATGGAGAAGAGAGACTGTAAAGGATGCTGTTTAACGTAACCTAGACACTTGCTTTTAAGCTAACCCAAGGGGATGGGAGAGTCTGTATGTGTTGTATGCTGCTTCGTTCTCTGCCTTCTCTGCTCCTCTTCTGGACACTTCAAAAAAACCCAAAACCAAAAAAAGGTTTTCTTTCTGCCATCTGCTAAAAAGTACCATAGTAAGGAATTATGAGGGTGTTCATGAGGATTCCTGAGGCTTTGCTGTATGGTCTTTTGTGGGGGTGATTCTGCAGCAGCTCTCCTGTTCCTTGAGTAATCTTAGGCTTCCTGGTGATTCAGCCTTTCTGAGCAGTATCTATGCATGTGGGTAAGCATGGAAAGGAGAAATGGATACCAAGGAATGCTAAAGGCTGAATTGTGGCAGGTCATTGCACTAGAGAAAGGAATGCCCTTGTACAGGCTGGATTTGTCCTACTTTCTTTCCTCTCTCCTTTTCTGGAGTGTACGTGCAGAAATTGCCATCTCTCTCTTAGTAGTAGATCAGCTTGAAGCTGAGAGGAAAAAGCATACTGTTAACTTCCAGTTATTTTTTCCTAGATGCAGGTAGTTAGCTGTCTAGATTACATGTAACTGCAGTATGTTTTCCCTCAAGGTTAATTTTCCTGCCCTAGTGTGGAAGTGAGTGAGTGACTGTGAACTGGTTTGGAGAGGAAGAATTGTCAGAGAAATGCCAGCGGGGTAATTCTCTCTCTGCCTTTCTCTTGGTGTATTATCTAGAGGTCAATCTTGTCATTTTACTGGGAAGATGGTAATGAAGATTTCTTGGCATGGGGATATTGGAGGCAAAATAATTTTTTTTTCTGAAAGCAGCAGACTTAAGAGCTCTATCCCGGAGCTCTTACAGGGACTTGTGGGTGATTAGAGTCAGGAGTGAGCTCTGTTTGGGGATGCACAACAGACTCCCCTGCCTAAATGAACAATTATAATTTCTGAATTTATGCTTTACTTGGAAACTGTAGTGAAAAAAAAAAGGGGCCAAGAGCAAAGGAGGACTCAAAAAGCTGAGGGTGGAATGAGTGGAGACTGTGGTTTGCTGCTGAGCCTGTCATCTTGTGAGCACTTGCATTCCTGATCGTTGCATGGCAGATAAACAGCTGGGCCTTGTATTTTGCATCTAGCCTGAGGTAGTGGCAGTTGCACAGAGCATGCAGAATTGCTTCTTTCTCCCAGTGTGCCCAATGTTTCAGGTGCCACAATAGCTATCAAGACCTATTACTGCAGGTAGGGTACTGTCACCCCTTTCCTCTCTGATCTGTGGTCAGAGAGGGATTAGTAGCTTGGTAGTTGGCAGAGTACATTCCTCTGTCAGTGGTTGTTTCATCTACGTCTCTGTTTCAGGTAAGGTAGGTTTGGAAGGGGTGTTCCTAGGTGCTTTGGTGAAGATAACCTCAAAAACTGTCTTGGAGTCTGATTTTTAGGTGTGTTTCAAATGTCAGAAGTATGTAACAGCCCAATTTGTCTTCACCATCACAAACAACCTGCTAATGGAGCACCTCTTAACAGTCTACAGTAAGTCGTGTTTCTTCTCTGGCCAAGAGGCCAGCAGAGACTAGTAACAAGTGATGGGGCCTTTACGCCCTGTTTGTTTTGATGTTGTGTTCAAGTGTGGGAAGAGGCAGAGTGCTGCACACAGATCTGTATTTTCTACAGGAAACGGCCCATTTTGTAGGATGCAAGAGAGCTGTAACAATACATGAGGGTTGAAGGCTGGGCATGTATATAAAGTAGCTTAATCCCATTAATTTGACAATACTACCAGCTATTTTCAGTAAGTAATTAAAATACAGTAAGACCTCAGCCTAGAGACAAAGGAAAGCTTGCAAAACATAGGTTGACAGCGTCCAGCATTGAGGGACTGCTGCAGCTCTGTATGCCTAAAATTAAGCTGTCATACAAAGGAATAAATCAAGATATGCATAACATACTATAGATGTACATGCAGTAGCTGATCTGTTAAAGTCCAGATTTTTCTTAATCAACACACGTATCCCTGTTGTATGTACCAACAGACTGGAAACCAGATTAAAATCAGCCCTGTAGAGCTGAAAATGGAATTTATCTGTTTAATTAGATTGTAATAGCTATTTATGTATCACTGTATTACAAACATTTTGATGTTTCATTAGTAAACTCTCTCTTCACCAGAAGAAAAAGATACAATCACTTCTCCATTTAAAATCTGAAGAGAAGCTGAACATCTTTTTTGTTTTACTTTGTCAAGTAGGTTTGCACTTGCTAACAGGCAGCTTGGGTGCTGCAAAATGTAAACAAACAAGGCCTGATGGTGATGCAGCAAATGTTCATTAGGGTGCAGCCTTCGGCTTTATTACAAGATGTGAAGTGGTACTTCTTTCTCTTTATGGGTACCGTCTGGCTCTGGTACTTTACCTGCTATCTGGAGCAGCTGTTTGAAAGAATATTTGCCAAAATAACCATTCTCGAAATTCATCATACAAAATGCACTACTGTGGTTACTGTTTTGAGGGGGTTATGAATGTATTTACTTAGGAATTTAAACCAGAATAGCTTGTGTTCACATGATGAGATTGAACATTGTAAAGAAAGCAGTCACTTTTACAGCATGCTTGCAACATTGAACTACAATAATATCTGGGGTGGGTATGTTCTATATTTTAAAGAATAAATCCTTGCAAATTGGCAAAAGAAAAAATATGGCTTCACACAAACCACTCATGTTAGAATTTTTACCTTAGACAGTATAAACTAATAACTAGTTTGTTTTCAAATGGAAAATTTCAATGGAAATTTACAAAAGGCAGAATAAATCTCTAAAATGCAGTGTTTACTCTCAGAGTTTGAACTGTCTCTGAGTTTTAACTGCATCTCTATAACAACAAAGTATAAAGAGCACATACTTGCAGTTAACTCATTTCACTCAGGTCTTTGTTCAAGTGTATGTGAATCAAGGGGCTACTTTCAAAGTGGTTTTTGAGTATTTATTGAGTTTAATGTGACCATCGCCCCATGTTAACAGCAGCAAGTAAGGAAAAAGCAGCGAGTGAGGAGTTCCGAGACTAGAGGTAGATACTGCTGGTGGTATTCAGGTCACTTCAAAGTGGTGCATAGGGAGCACAGAGCCAGGAGCTGCTGCTGTGTTTTCCTGGCAAAAATATTTAACCTCCGAAAATATTTTATGGTAGGCTTAATTTTTTTTTTTAACTCTCATTTTGTAGGTTAAGAAAATGGAAAGTTGTTGTTTTTTTTTTTTTTTTTAATACAGAAAAATGGAAATCCCTACTGAAGTGTGAGGAGGGGGGGTTAGTAGCAAATTTGAGATAAATGAATTCATCTTCCTCTAAAATATTGTCAGAAGAAAGACTGGTTCCTTTCTTTGCTAGACAAAGAGCTCCTCCCAAGTGCTTTGAGGGAACTTGAAGTGAATATGTCCTGTTTTCTAATGATTTGGGGTGGGAGTAAAGCACAGTTTCCTTGTCTGGTTAGTCAAGGTATGTTTCTAGATTGCCTGTAAGCAATTTGTCGTTCAAACTTTCAAGCACATTAGAGCTTAGGTTTCTTAAAATTGATTATGGGGGAAAAAAAATACTGTATCAAAACAGATGAGAAAAATCCAGCTTGGAATTTAAGCTTGAGGGTTTTTTAGCTTAACATTTCAGTAAGGAAGGAGAGAGTAAGAAGACTGTAGGTTTCTGCTAGTTGTTTGGCGAACACCTCTGAATCTGCAATTTCTGGAGTATGCTGCAAGTGATAATGAAGCACAGGTACACAGATTCATCAGCTTGCAGTTCAGGTTGAAGTCCTTAAAGGATGGTTAGGTGAAGAGCAGGATGCCAGTATGGCCACCACTTCACGGCCAAGAAAAGAATGCACTGAGAAAAACTTGTCATGTATTGGACAAGAAGAGAGTTTAAACACAGTTTAGCACTTTAAAAAGCAAAGGTTATTTTATTTTGTTATGCTAATCTTTTCCATGAGTTTGATTTGCTAGAATTTGAGTAAGCATCCTTTAGAAAATTCTACTAAATATAGAAAATAGCAGAAACCATACACAATGAAAGTACAACATGTTTTTTCACCTTTCTCTTCCCTGTGTTATTTTTCTGCTGTTTTTCTGTCTTTTGATATAGCCTGCAAGTTTCTTATCTCTTTG